GAAGCCATTTTTCTGCCAAGGGAGGCAAAGGGTGCTGCCTTCAGGGGCCTGATGCTGGAGGCTCCTGGGACCACTGGGCCAGCCAAGGCGCGGGGGGGGGGGGGGGGGGGGGGGGGGAGCAGAGGCCGAACCTGGAAGATCTCGAAGCCATAGATGTCAAGCACACCAATACTGTATTCCTCCTGGGGCTTCTGCATAGCACGGTTGATGGCCTGTAATGTGGGTGGGGACCGCAGGTGAGTGCCAGCGTGCCGCTCTCTTGCGCTCCTAGCCGCGTTCACAGGCTATGTCCCCTCATACCTGTTCCTCTCCTGCCTTCTCCAGCTCTGTGTGCGGCGCCCCCCCCCCCCCCAACATGAGAAACCCAGGTGTCAGAACATCCGGGTTCCTACCTTGCGAACTGGCTTTGGCCCTTGACCATTCTGCACCTCTATTTTCTCATCGTTAAAATGGGTTAATAATGGCAACTACCCTGCAGGGCTTTATACAGGAATTAAATTGGTGCGTGTAGGAACACTGAGAACCGTACCTGGCATAGACTAAGTGTCATATAATGTTGGCTACTACAGTATTGTCACCATTCCTGGCCTTGACACGTCCTGTTCCTGTCGCTCCCATCCAGTCCATCACTTTGTCCTTCTGATAGCCCCCTCGTGCCTCTCAGATGCCCCCACCCGTCTCCACCCCCACAGTGCAGGCCTGGATGGTTCCAGCAGCCCCCTCCCTCCTGGGCTCGGCCAGGAGGAGCCTCCGCCCACGTCATCCATCCGATTGGCTCCTGCCCCTGCTTGATGACTCTGATGGCTGGTGACAGTCAAACCTGCCTTCCCCACTTGGTTAGTCCAAGCCCAGGTTGCTCTGGGGCAGCGCCTCTCCGCCTGCCTGGCCCCGGCGCCTCTTACCTCCACGAGAAAGTCGAAGAGCCGGGCGTAGAGCCCCTTGGCCAGGGCGTCGCGGGTGTAGGCCGCCTGCTCCACGTTGAGGGTCACATCGATGGACTCGCTGCGCCCGCCCCAGCGGCTGTCCATCTTGCGGCTGGTCAGCTTCTCCTGCAGCCGCCCGCTGTCGATGCCCAGCAGGTAGGCGGGAAAGGCCAGCACTGCCGGGCGGAGGGGGCAGCCAGTTAAGCTCTTGGGCCTCCTGCGATGCTTCTGGCGCTCCCCATTTTGCCCAGTGACTCAGATACTGTCCTCGTGGGCTCTGACCCTCCTGGGGTCGAACTAGGAGAAAGCAGTTCACGCCTCCGCCCCACCGTCCCCGGAACCCACACTCACGGTCCACACTCTCCACCCGGGCGTAATTCCCGTCTTCACAGAAGCTGATGTTTCCCAAGTGCAAGATCCCGGCCACAAGCTGTAGGACCAGCTGCTGGACGTTGGGTGGGATCCCAATGACCTGCATGGCATTCTGCGGGCACAACAGGGACAGGGCCTGTGCCACGGATCCCCACCTCCGCCCTGCCCTCCTGGGTTAGGCTTCTGGGGCCACAGCACGGAGTCAGGACACCGGGATCCCTGTCCTGCCTGTTTCACCCGCTTGCTGTGTGACTTGAGGCAAGTCCCTGCCCCTCTCTGGGCCTCGGTTTCCGAGTGTGGTGGTCACTGCTCACCAGAGTCTCACTGAAGTCACTCCGGTCATCGGTGCCATCCACCTTGTAGGTGTCCGACTGGAGGTAGTAATAGTACTCGGGGGTCATGAGCCCCAGGTTCTGCCGCTGCTCCTGGGAGGCTCCTTCCAGCAGCTGGGGGGTGAGCAATGCTCATGCATCTGACGTGGGACTGCGCAGCCCCCGTGACCCCCCCCAGTCCTCACTGTCACGGGCTCCTGGGCACTGACCCTCCCCCCCCATCTCCCCTTGGGCTCTCCCCCTGCCCCAATCTCACGGCCCCTTTCCCAGCACCTGGTAATAGATGTGGAAGTTCCTCTCGTTTTCGTTCTGCATGACCACACGGGATTTCTCTAGCAGGAAGTTGGAGATCTTGCCCCCGTCTGGCTCCCCGCCGCGGCTGAACTGGATCTCAAAGTACTTGCCCTGAAGCCGAGAGAGACACGTTAGACCCCCAGAGTCCCAGCGGTGTGCCGGTGGGACAGGAGTTGAGGATGGGCCTTAGGAGCCTGGCCTCTTGAACCCTCTTGCCCATGTGACCTCAACTCTGCTCTCCACTCCCGCTTACTGACTTTGCCTTTGTTTGACCCTCCCGCCTTTGTTTAAGCTGCTCCTTCTCGGCTGACTCAAGTCCACATCTGGGCATCCAGCCCTGTGCCAGGCACATAGAAGTACCTCACTTTATTGACCAGTTTCCCAGGTCTTCTATCACAACACGGAGGCCTCCACATTCCTGGGGGATGTTGCTAGTTTCAGTGATCCTGGGTGTCTCTCCCGTGTTGTCCCTGAGCCCAGAGCAAGGGCTCCACAGCCCCTTCTTTGGCCTCTGCCAACCTCTGGGTTCTACCCTGGGCAAAGTTTGGAGGGCAGAGAAGCCCCCTTACTTCTCCTTTCTGTCGCCTCCATGCAATGATGATACACATTACATCATAGCGCTACCCAGGCACCTGTAATACGTGACATATACCCATTCTGTTCTGTTGTATACTAAGTAATATTGTAATATATGTAACATATGATGTAATATATCTACACATATGTATAATATATACCGTATGTAATATATGACATATATAACACATAACCTATATTACATAATATGCAATATAAAACATGATTGCATTCTTATATATGTAATGTATGTATTATGTATCTATGACACATAATATATAACATATATAACATATACATAATATAATATGCCATATAAAACATAACTGTGTTCTTATGTATCTATAACACGTAATATATAACATATATATTACATAATATTATATGCAAAATAAAACATGATTGTGTTCTTGAGGTTCAGCCATGTTTTGGTGTGTATCAGTACTTTGAAAACACATACGGTGCGATTTCCAGTTATAAAAAGTTCTAGAACAGTCGAAACTAATCTCTTGTTAAAAAAAAATAAAAAGACCCAGAGGAGTGGTTGCTTCTGGGGTGAGGTGGGAACAGAGACTGACCGAAAAAGGGAGGGAACTTTCTGGAGTGATGGTGATGTTCTGTATGTTCATAGGGCTGTGGTTGTACAGATGCACACATTTTTCCAAACTCTGTGCATGATCCGCTTTAATGTGTTCTGCTATATGCAAATTTTACTTTGAAAGAAATCGAAGGAAAAAAAAAAAAGAAATCGGGGCGCCTGTATGGCTCAGTCGGTTAAGCGTCAGACTCTTGGTTTCAGCTCAGGTCATGAGCTCGTGGTTTGTGAGTTTGAAGCCTGTATCGGGCTCCGCACTGACAGTGCGGAGCCTGCTTGGGATTCTCTCTCTGTCCTTCCCATGCTTGTTCTCTCTTTCTCTCTCCCCCACCCCTTCTAAATAGATAAATAAATGAAATGGAAGAGCACTGGAAATTTATATTGGATTATCATTAATGATCTGCGTGCTGACGTGTGGAGGGGAGAGCAGAAAGTATGGTGTTTACTTTGTAGTTTACTTTGCAGTTTACTTTGTAGCTCATCAAAAAAAAAAAAAAAAAAAAAAAGATGAACAGGGGCACCTGGCAGGCTCAGTCAATGGAGCACGCGACTCTTAATCTCAGGTCATGAGTTCAAGCCCCACATTGAGTGTGGAGCTTACTTAAAAAAAAAAAAAAAAAAAAAACAAAAAGAATGGATGGAGACGTGATAAAGTAAGTATAGCAAAATGTTAACAACAGAACCTGGGAGGTGGGCAGCAGGTGTTTGCTACGCAATTCTCCTCATTTTTCTGTGTATTTGAGATTTTTAATAATAAACGTTGAGGAAAATACTTCAAATATAATTACATGATAAAAATGTTAGAAAATAGGGGCGCTTGGCTGGCTCATTTGGTAGAGCGTGCAACTCTTGATCTTGGGGTTGTGAGATCGAGCCCCATGTTGGACGTAGAGATTGCTTAAAATTAAAAAAAAAAAATCTTCATTAAAAAAATCCTAAGCCATAAGATTTATATTTTATTTAAAAAAAATGTTTTCATGTTTATTTACTTTTGAGAGAGAGAGAGAGAGCACAAGCAGGGGAGGGGCAGGGAGAGGGGGAGACACAGAATCCAGAGCAGGCTCCAGGCTCTGAGCTGTTAGCACAGAACCTGACTCGGGGCTTGAACTCGTGAACTGTGAGATCATGACCTGAGCTGAAGTCAGATGCTCAACTGACTGAGCCACCCAGGTGCCCCAGCCAAACGATTTTTAAAAAAATATTTATTTTGAGAGAGAGATGAGGGGGGTGGACAGAGAGAGACAACCCAAGTGAGCTCTGAGCTGTCAGCACAGAGTCTGTTGCAGGGCTCGAACTCACGAACTGTGAGATCATGACCTGGGCCGAAATCCAGAGTCAGACGCTTAACCGAGCCACCCAGGCACCCTCTCCCCAAATTAAAAAATCTTAAAAAAGAATGTTAGAAAAAAGACAATAATATTTAGGGGAATAAAATAAATTGTATTAGCATATGGAATTTATTAAATCATTTTCTTTTTTTTTTTTTAATTTTTTTTTTAACGTTTATTTATTTTTTTGGGACAGAGAGAGACAGAGCATGAACGGGGGAGGGGCAGAGAGAGAGGGAGACACAGAATCGGAAACAGGCTCCAGGCTCTGAGCCATCAGCCCAGAGCCCAACGCAGGGCTCGAACTCCCAGACCGCGAGATCGTGACCTGGCTGAAGTTGGACGCTTAACCGACTGCGCCACCCAGGCGCCCCTATTAAATCATTTTCATATGAAGGAATTATTGAGATCTGTGAGATGGATATTAACACCATCTCCATTTTATGGATGAGAAAACAGGAGCTTCAGGAAGTTACACTGTTTTTGGTTTTGTTTTGTTTTTGGTCCAACCCACAAATGTAAATAGTGATAGAGTCAGATCATAACTCCAGATCCGTTGACCTATTCTGTCTTCTGTTAGGCTCAGCGTAACACCTGACGGAAGGAAGAAGCCCAAGATCGATTTGTTAAAAGAAACAACGGATGAGAGAATAAATCGGGAACTGAAATGTGAATAGGAACGGACGTAGCATGATTGCAGCCAAGGCAATATGGGGAGAATGTTACACAGACAAGTCAAGGAAGTCGAGGCCACTACAGTGCAGCTGACGGGGGAATCTTTTTCAGATGGACCATAAGCAGGAAGTGAGTCTCCCATGCAGGAGCAGGTAGTTCCTCTATTGCTGGGAATACACGTGTGCGTGTGCGTGTGCGTGTGCGTGTGCGTGTGCGTGTGCGTGTGCGTGTGCG